GAAAAGCTTACTGAAAATACAAAAAATTACTAAAATGTTCGGCTTTAAATGTGTTTCATGTTGAATTTGACTAGTTAAAAATATCTCATATACATTTTTTCTGATTTATTTATTTCTTGATTTAACACTAAACCTACCAAGCTTTCATGTATACCAATTCCTACCGTGAGGAGTCACATGATCACTTTGAAAAAAAAAAACACATTTTTTAATGCAGAATGAAGATTATAAACAATTAGATGGTAAACAAAATACTTTTTATATTTAAAAATAAGTAATGTTTATTTTATTCAGTTTCATCACATTGTTTATAAATTATAGGATTCTCGATTACATTTATCACATACGTATTTTTCAAATTTTAAATAGATTATTGCCTTTGCAAAATCTTATCTGGCATTTTTTCTGGTCACATGAATCAGTTATATTTGTGATTGCTTTTGCTGACTCTTCTTGATATTCGGCGGCAAGCTCTTCTCTCAATTGAAGTAAAAAAAATTCTTACCTCGAAATACCTTCTTCCGTTTCTTTAAAATCCAAGCATTTATATCGACTAAATCTAACATTTTAAAAAATACGTGCAAAAATCATTTCCGTGATTTAGATTTTATGTAGTATTTTCTGGCCATTTGCAAAGCGATTGCATTTACATCGAATTTTATGTTATTGTCGAATTCTATTGTTTCTGGTATACGGGAATCGTTTTTTTCAATTTCAACGGATGAATGCATCGAACTAAGTATCGATATCTTTTTATTAGGTTCAGCTTTATAAGTTAATGACAATAACCGTCTGAGTACAATTATTTGATCCGTATAAAGTTGTTGAGAAACGATTCATATTGTCTTTTATATGTCTTTCCAATTTTGATAACTCCCATCTATTTCCCCGAATTGTTCCAACAAGCATAGTTTCTTTTTTGCTAAAAGTTTCGTCGCTAATGACACACTTGTAAAAAAATTGTTCGTGGTTATATTTCTTCTACAGCCCGTATAGGATTCTACTAATTTCAGGGTAACAAACTCCCCGAGTGGAACCGAAGATTCTTTCCTTTCATGTTTTCCCAAATATGGGAAGCCTACTTTACTATATATTTGCTTTTGACATCGGAAACTAACCAGAATTTCATACCAAATTTATTCGGTTTATTGGGCATGTATCGTGTAAATCTACATCTTGCTTTCGTTGGAACCAATTGTTCATCCATAGATAGATATGGTCTTGGTTCATAACAGTTTTGACAGTTATAATCCTTAGTTTATAATAGCTGTCACAGATTCGTTCTCGTTGAATTTGCGCCAAACTTTGGAAATCAAGACGAATTAGTCATTTCTGCTCATAGTATTGGAGAAAAATACTGGACCCCATTTTTTTTTTTATATATATATATAACGTTGTATATTGTAGCGAGTACAATATAGCGAGAAGATTGCATACTCTTGAATAAACAATTTTCTTTAGATAGCAAGTAAGATAATAGAAGACAAAGACCGTTTCATGCAAAGAATATAAATAAAGTCAAATGACCCCTCGCGGTAGGCAAGACAGACTACAAATTTTTTTCAAAAAATGAACAATGAGAAAAAAAGTGAATATTAAAAAGTGGATTGTACATATGATATAAGAAAAATCGTGAAGTTAAATGGCATATGCAGGATATTCCAAATGAAATTTCAAAAAGGGTCATTTGACCTCGCTTAGCTAGGTTTAGTGTTAAACAATTTCTTAGTTGAATGCCACATTCGGCCATCAAACGGTACTGTGTCTTTTCTAAACAGTTGTCAGTATCTCACTGTTTCATAATGGGCTTGGTAAAATTGTACAAATTGATGAAACTGTTTGGGAAAAGGAATTGGAATCAATCAAAATTCGAATTGAAATGGAAAATTAGGAATTATGAAGAGAACGACTTTAAATTAACAGTGTAAAAAAATCGTACGTTAAAACATGTAAGAAAATATAAGCGAGTTGGGTCAAGTTATGGTAGAAAGGAAGTAGGTGATGAGTCCGTTTCTCAAAAAGTTTTATGTTATATTTTGTTATGTTCTTAATCGAAGTAGAGAAAGTAGAAGTAAAGAAAATCGTCGAAATGGTCAATGAACAAAATTGTACACTAGAAATGCTATTACAGCTAAAGAGACGATTGAACAAAACACTTGAACAATCTGATGTACCCAGTACAAGCTGAAATAAGCAGAAATATCATTAAGATATCATAATTACGTCTACTTTCATATTAAGATATTTCGAAATACGTACAACGATAATCGTCGCGCTGCGTTCATAGGTTCAGAGTTTTCTTTCAGAATGAATTTCTTTATTCCCATTTGGTAATTCGTGATATACTTCTTCCAATCCGTATCTTGTAAATCTAATTTCACGACGTTGCCGTCTTTCAACGTTTTCACCATCGTCATCATTTCAGTAACGTTATATCTGTGGAAAGTCCATTCTCGTGTGACAAAGTATTCAAGCGCTTTAACCAGCTCACTGCAGTACTTGCCAGTTTTCATCATTCTAAAATGCCATATTTAAATATTATTACTTTAAATGAGACAACGTTTATTGTAGAAAATATATTATTCCAACGGTTGCTCGTTCTTCGTTACACAACAGAATACTCACTTTGGCTTCTTACCCCGAAGTTTTAAAAAAGCATCCATGATGAACGCAGGCAAAACATGAAGAAATATATTCAGAACACTATAAACAAATTTGTTGGTCAACAGTATGCAAAACGGATACCACAATACATCGTTCATTGGTGTTTTTATGCAACATTCCAGGTAGATATCTTTTATCTGACCCCATCTTAGGAAACAAAACAGTTGATTATTCAATTATATTCAAAATAGAGAATATTATCAGAGAATGCGAATTATTGTATAATTTTCTATTCTTTTGAACCGCGAGAACGTAAGTGAATGTGAGCACAAAATATTTAGTGCGAGTGCAACAACTGATATTGCAACGAATTTAATACAATTTCTGTAATTAATACAATTTATTGGAATAAATCGATTTCTATAAACACACATCCGAAAAATATTTCGCTGTTCTCACTATCTAAATTTTCCCGTCATGTGCGTGTTCTTTTGTATTTTTTAAATACGATATTTGATATTTCTTTCACTGCATGCCCCAAATAAACGAAATCTTCCAATTTCATAGTCAAATTATATCTAATAACGTAATTCTATAATGAATATTACTTGAGAGGGGACGCGTTACTCGTACAGTTGTACACTTTAGGTTTATTCTCACGATGTAGGGTGGCATGCCACGCGGCACACACTATCGTGTCGACCACGTAATCGATGGGCACTACGTCCAATCTTGCGTCTTTGTTACATATCATGGCTCTTAATATACCTTTGCCGATTTGTAGGAAGATACCTGTAAAATTATCAACAATTAAAATTATTTCTTTATCTATTGAAGAAGTAAGAATGCTAGTAAAACTGGCTGGTTCAATGATCTTGATCTTCACATGCTTTATCAAGCTCATTCTCGCGACTTTCGAGATGAATTTTATCCGCCTCTTCTTGCTTGTTAAAGAGTTACGGGTTAAAAACGGAGTCTATAGTTGATTCGTTCCGTGTTAGGAATAGGATTAGGTTTAACATAAAAGATGCAAACTGAAAAGTTTATTCGAAATTGTGCAAGTTAATCACTGATTACCAATCAAACGAACTACGATTAGTAATAATGAATAATCGAGAAGAAATTTCAATAGAAGAAAATCAAACATCAGTGTTATCCGGTACATGTTAAGTTCAAGGACCAAGAACTTGAGCGAAAATACGCAATTCTAGCTGCTTTCGTGACTTAAAGACACGAGTGACGCTCTCTTTTGCGTCACACAAAATGAACATAATAATCTGACTCAAATCTATTGTGATCAGATTTAGCCCCAAAGAACTCAAACCTAATTCTAATTCTAATTCCACTGGAAATATATTCAGTTTGGATAAAATTTGTAATGAAGGGATGATGCAGAGGAAGAAGCAGCAGAGTCCCTCTGCTGTCTTCCTTCCTGTTTCATAATATCCATATTATTCTCAGGAAAACGTAAAAGTGATTGTTTTTTGAAAACAGTCACTTTTATGAAGCCACAGTTCGTTCTGATTGTTATTTTTCCCGCTCATTGAGCT